TGCAAGTTTCCCCCCTCCCTTCTTGGAGTTAGGCAGAATAACAGATCACAAGAATACTTATCACAGAATATTTTACTGCAGTTAAGACAGAACACTTTATTCCTTTACAAAAATAATAATTATTTTTGGAAGTATGATCAGCCACATGAAAAGTATTCTTTAATCTTTTTCTGGGCCAAAAATATTACTTGGGCACTTCTCAGCTTTTCAAATAAATACATTCATTAATCTGGCCGAGGTATTACTCCATCACAAGGCAATACAGGGCCTTAAATACACACAAAATTTGGGTACTTCTGCTGCCTCTATAACAACCATCTTAAACCATTTACTACAAAATAAGGTACTGGATGATGGAAATTAAAAAATTCCAGTTGGTTCTCAAAAGCTTAGGTGGAATTTTGTCCTAAATGGTGATTAACTCATTCATGTATGTTCATAATCCTTTTAAGCAGTTGCATAATATTCCAAGCGGCCCTCAAAGATGCTGTGTAGGACAGCGAGTAGCTCATTTCTGCCCACAGGAATGCAAGATCTTATGCTAGAAGGAAATCCTGTTCACACTGGAGTAAATGTGTTTTTTATTAGCCTTTAATGGCGTTTGTCTTCCTTTTTCTGAACTTAATTGAGGGTGGGATTTTACCCATCTCCTCAGACAATTCTGGCTCAAAACTGAATTCTAGCTTTGAACCTTTTAAAACAGGGAAAATTAAGGTGAAACTAAATAAACCCAGCGAATAGATCCATCTCCAGGTGGAGAAGGACTCTGACACCCTTCCTGAAGCAGACGTGAGCTCTAAGCAAACAGGCCCTGCAGTGCCAGCAGCGCTCCAGGTGCTGGGGAAGCAGCTGTGCCACCTGCCCTGCTCCTACAGGTGGGCAGCGTGGGCCTGGCCAAAGGGCCCTTCCTCCTCCCACAGCAAACACTGGGGATGTTTGAGGTGAGGAGAAGGTCATAATGCCACAGAAGGGAAAATGCTCTACTTCCAGGCACTTTCAGTGAAACTTCAGACTTGACAAAGATAAGGCTAGATAAGGAATTTCAGGGACAGAGTTCACACGGGTAAACTCTCAGGCAGTATATTTTTATGTTGCAAATAAGTGAGACTAAAATATTCTATAAACTTTCACTGTATTCTTTGCATTAAATCAAATAATTAGTTATTCATCTCCCAGCTTTGATTTTGTTAAATAACCAATACCCTAATTCAGAGGCAAGAATTTAATCCATAGAAAATTCTGTCCTGGGAGAAGATCAAAGTGAGTCCGTGGTGTTAAGCACACACCTACAGCACTTGATCCTGAAAAAAAAAAAAAAAAATAGGTGCATGTTTCAATCAGCCTATCCCTTCTCACTGGTTCCCACGCATTAACCTAAGCCTCTGTTGGAGCATTTTTGGTGCCAGGATCAAGGACCTGTGGAGATGCTCACACTGGGAGAGCAGGGCTCTGAAAAGGTAGCAAGCAAAAAGGTGAGAACCCCAGCAGGTTGTGATGGCAATGCCTCCTCATTCCTCTGCATCTACCAACGCTACAGGAAGAGATTGAAAGTCTCTTGGGCGACATAAATACGCACGATAAGCTCGAACAGAAAACACAAAGGTGAAATGGCCCTGCTTATCAGGCACAATTAAAATGAATAGAGGATGACTAATAAAGAGGCAGTTTAAAATCTTTACATGACACAGTGTCAAGGCAACAGTGTTGTGCAATAGCACTGACACAATTAACTCTGTGTCCCTGCCTTGGGCAGAGCAGGAACGGGGCTCCCGCCGGCCTCGCCCGCACCGTCCCATGGCGAGCGCTGGGTGGGCTCTGCCGCTGCCGTCCGCGCTCCGGCCGCATCCCAGAGCCACCGCGGGACCCGCCGCAAACAGCCGCTCCGGACCAAGGCAAGGCTGCTTTTTCCTCTTTGCCATCTCTGTTCCTCTCTTTCCTTTTCCGTTGCGTGATCCCAAGGCTCGCGGTTACCGCTGTGTGAAAAGGGAAAATCATCACGCTGAGTTTCTGGGCACACTCTGGAGAGAGACAAGGCTGAGGTGCCTGATCCTGAACCGGGGCTGGTTGTTGACTTAGCGCTGAGGAATGCAAGCATTTCCTGGGTAGGAATTTTTGCAGTGTGTAATTTGCAAGCTAGTTTGGACAGCCCTGTGCTCGGGATGATAGATGGTGAATGGGAGTGTGATCTTCCAAAATACTGCTCAAGGTACCCTTCTAGTTCTTCATTTAATTCTGTTGCTCCTTGGTGCCTGTCAGGCTGCAGGATCTCCCAGTCCACTGGGCAAGTGCAGCAGGGGCAGGCTGGGTTCTACATACATATATATATAATACGTATATACATGTATGTACATATTTTTATATATATACATAGATGCTATATATATATATATATATGTATATACAATTCTATTCACACACAAGAACATGTATAAAAACGTGTGCAAGAATATTTATAAGAACAACAAAGATAATTTTTTTTATTTGATGTTCTTATTTTCTGGCCAAAACCAGCTCTCTCTGGGTTTTATTGCTGCTGGCATGTCTTTGCAATGCAGCACTGTCAAAAACTAACAATATAAACAAATCTGAGGCTACGCCAACCATCGCTGAGCACAGCCAAAGCTGCCCAATGCCACAACTTGCTGAACAATGTGTGAATTTTGCAGTGGCAGAAATGTCTGTTTCCCCGTTCTTTCTTAACTTCTGGAAAGATCTTGGTGGAAAGTGTGCTATTCTAAATGAGATAATTAAAGTAATTGATATGAAAACTCCTTCACCATTGCTGCAGAAGGAGGGGCCCCTGTATTTGCCCAGCCTACTAGCTCTACCTGCCAGGGGCTGCAAGGGAGAGATTGGAACACTTCAAATAAGGCATGATTTCTGGTCAGCAAATAATGGTTTTTTTATGAGGTAAAGTGGTACTTCTGAACAGTTTGCTTTATTAGAAGGCAGTGTTGATGCTGTTTCCTGTGCCTGTCAGACTTGTGGCATGGGGGGTGGCCAAAAAAGTGTCCCAGCAGTGCCAGCACCCCTGGCCAGCTGCTAGCACAGCTCAGGGCAATGGCTGTGGCACTTGTGCCTGGAGGGGAAACCTACCACAGCATCTTCAGGGCCACATCCTGCCTGCCTGTGCTTCCCACCCATCCGTCTGTGGGTGCCAGACCTTAAAGTGCCTCAGTCACAGAGTTCGATGTTCTCATCATTCCTCATCTACTCCCCAAATGTGTATCTGCATGTCATGTACGGAGGCAGTGACATCCATCCTGCTGGTGATGGCCACTGCTGTGCAGGGCTGCACTGCAGGCAGCAGAGGCACACCCTAACCCAAGTAAAAGGGGAGAGAAATGCTGCATTTGATACCCATTCGTACCTCGGCTGAAAGTGAGCAGGAAGGATTTTAACCACATGAATGAGGGAAGGGTTGCTGTGTTTCACATTACGAGGCCGTGTGCCTCAAAAACCCACTCTAAGTGAGAAAATGAGATTTGCCACTTGTGGCAGGCAGCACAACCAAGCTATTTTCTTTGCCTCCAATAGGAAAGTAAATAAGAAATATTAACTGTGTACAAAGGTGCCCTTTTACTTGTCCTCATCAATAACAGCTGATGTTCCTCAGGGTTATTGCTGTAACAACGTCACTTCCCTTTCCTCACTAGGATCAAGCTCATATTAAAAACCTCATAGCCTCATAGGAAAGTCTTTTGTCCACTACCCCGTTTGTGGGTTCTGCTTTTGTCCCCCATGCTGTGCTTTGGGGCACTGGCACGTGTGGGGATGGGACCGTGCAGGCTGCCTGTGTGCCTGCCCCTTTCCTCCTGCAGAACGAGGGCTGGGAGAGGAACAGGAATTTTGGCTGAGCAAAGAAAGCCAAAGGTGAGGATGCCAGCTGTGGGAAAGGGTACTAGGCAGTAACGTGCTTCCAGAGGGAGCAGATCTCCCAGCCTTCCATAGGTGAAGGAGCAGCTTTCCAAGAGGAGCTGAAGCGGAGAGAGGGAAAAAAGGACGCCAAAAAATTAACTTGTTGTAAAGGAGTGCACTCAGTTTTGGGAGCTGCTTGGAGAACCCCGGGGCCGGAGTCAGGGACCCAGCAATGTTCCCCCAAGTTGTCTCTACTGTGGCGTCAATCAGTGGTTTCCCACGGCAGCGCTGGTCCCCACCCGGCGGTGCCCTGAGAAGAGAGAGGAAGAGACTTCAGAACAGTCTTAATGCCCCAGCTTTGGTACCCACTGCTTCCAGGTACAAGAGGAGAATAAACCAAACTCTGGCGAAGGGCAGGACCATATGGCCCGACTGAGCAGCGGCCCCAGCCCCGCTGCTCCTGCCGCCGGCCGCGGCTCCGCGCCCGCAGCGCGCACGGCTGCAGTCACGGGCAGGGGAAAGGAGCTGCCCGCTGTCCTTGGAGAGGAGGGTAAACAGTTACACTGGAGAAAGGGAATTTTTTAAAAACCCAGAAAACCTATGAGGAAGGAAGCGGCAAATGTTGAATGGGTGACTCAGATACGGGATGACTAATCCCGTCGGGGCACAGCTCGTGCTGCGCGGAGAACCGGTGCCGCGCTCCGGGCGGGGAGCGCAGAGCGGCTGCGGGTCCGTCGGGGCAGCCGGGGCCGGGCCTCGCTCCGCACGGAGGGGGACGGGCCGGTCCCGGCCGGACTCCGCGGCCGGGGCCACCCCGCGGCCGGTACCCGCGCATCGGCGGCGGTGACCTACTTTCCGCCGGTTCCTCCCGGCGCACGGCACCGCCGCTGCCCGCGCCACCTGCCCGGCCCCGTCCGGGCCCCGCACTCGCGGAGGTGCGCCGCTCCTGCCGTGCGCCGCTCCTGCCGAGCGGTGCGCTGCGGTGCGCTCCTCCCGCGCGGTGCGCTCCGCCCCGCGCCCGCGCTCTGCCCGCGGGTGCCGGCGGCGGGTGCCGGTGGCGGCGGGGCGGGGAAGCAGCGCGCCTGTGCAGTGCCGGGGGCCGGGCCCAGCCCGCCGCGTTACACAACCGGCCGCCGCCACAGCCGAGTTTCACAAGTCCCGCCGCGGCTGCCCGCAGCCCGCGCCCCCCGTGCGCCCACCCCGCGCCGCGCATCGCCGGCACTGCCCCCCGCCCTGCCCGCGCTCATGCCATGTCACCGCCGGGCAGCGGGACCCCGCGGCGAGCGGTAACCCCTGTCGCCGGGGGGGCACCGCGCCGGGGCTGGGCATGGCACTGAGAGCGACTCCGGGACGCGCATCTTCCTAGACGGTGCGTACGGCCGGGGGACCGCGGACCCTGCCGGGGTCAGGAGTACGGGAGGGAGGGAGAGAGAGAGAGAGAGAGGGTCCCCGCACTTGCAGCCCGTGGGGAGCGGGGGCAGCCCGGGAAAAGCCCCCGCTGCAGGACCAGTATGCGGCACTCGCCGCTCCGTCCTGCCTTTGTCGGACACTGCCAGGACGGTCCCAGGTAAGTTCTGAAAAGGAAAACTGATAGCCGCAAGTCCTGTGGTTTTTTTTTCTTAAAAAATCCGTGTACCGTCAAGACGGGCGCAGGATGCAGCGCAGGGTGTCCGGGGGGCTCTGGCTGTAGAGGGCAGGGGGGAAGGGGGCTCCGGGACCGGGATGCAGGAGCGGAGCATCCCGAAGCCGGGCACCGGCATCCCCGTCCCTCAGCGCCCGCGGACCTCGGCGCACGGAGCCGCTCGGGAGCAGCCACGGGCTGAGCGCGGCTGAGAGCTGCGGTGATTTGGGATTGAGGGAAGCTGATTTTCGGGAGACTGAAATGGGTCTGATCGCAGGCTTCTGGTTCTGTCTTGAAGTTCGTCGTTCGTGGGATGTATTTGACTGAAATAGGCTGGAGAAAAACCTCCGAAATGAGTCTTGCATCTGGATTTTAGATAGCATCTAAAATCCAGGTTGAAAAGTCATTCTTCCCACCAGAGTTGTTGTGTCATTTGATTTTACAGAATGTTTACATTATAAATGGGGAAATAAGAAGGCTCTGAAAATCCCTCACATGTTTCAGCCGTGGATTTGTGAATGATAACACCACGCCTTGGTCCTTAGTGGCAGAAATTGTGAAGTGATTGCTCTGGGTAGCTCGCACTGGAAGCGCAGGTCGGAGCTGAGCCCTGTGTGATTCATCCCTGAGGTGTCGCACGCGGTTTGGAGGGCTGGAGTCCTTTGTGAAGTGCCACAGTCCCCGAAGGCAGGAGGCTCAGTGCATTTTGGAGAAGTGCAGCACATCAGTCCCTTTTTGGAGACAGAACTGGCACCCAAGTGCCAAGTACCCCTGCTCCGTGGATGAAGTTGTCCCCTTCAGCAGGGGGTGGCTCCGGAAATAATGCCCCTGAAATCAAAGCTGTTGAAATGCCCTATGCCTTACCTGCCTCGGGAGGGTAGGGTTATTTATTAGCTGAAGTTTATTTTGCTGTGTGCAGTGAAAGCTGTGGTGCTGATTTCACTAGAGGGATTAGACTTTCTGGTGTATACATAAGAAAATCTTCAGAGTCACTTCCTTCATTTTTGAGCAGAATGCCGGTGCTCCCCTGTCCTTATTTTGCTGGATCACTGCTGGCTAATCCCTAGCTTTGGAAATGCCAATTTGGCTTAAAGAGACAGCTAGCTCTTCGTGGGTTTGATGTGTAGGCTTCACAGTCCTCACAGATCCAATGGATGTTGTTTGAAGCAGCAGACACTTTCAAGAGTACACAGTGTGCAGCCCTGGTACTGATATCTGACAATGTGGTGTTTTGGTTGGGAATCTGTGTAATTTTTATAAACTTCCTAGGCTGCAGTCCCTCACCATAGTTATTCAGTGAGAAAAATACATTTGGATTTTGGGTTTTTAGAAACTGTATTAAAAAAAAAAAAAAAAAAAAAAGTAGATCGTTGTCCTGTAATGTGCTAATCAGAGTAAGTCAGCATGTCAGTGCTGCACCAGGGAGGGCCAGAACAGCTGCACTCGGGACTCTGCAGCTGATGGAGCCCTGACAAACTGACAAACACAGCAGGCACTAATGAGGACAGGACACTCCAGGAAAAGCCAAAAGTTGAAATTTGTGTGGAAAGGAGGCGTTTATATCTCTTGGGCTAAACATGTGTAGTACCAAATCTTTAGAATTTTTCTGGAAGAGTTAATAGGAAAAATGGAAATGGCTTTAGGAGTGGTTGCTTGCTGCTCTCTTATACTGATTGTTCCAAGCTGTGGATTACAATTAATTGATTTAGAGGGAAAAACTAAATTGGTTTGAAATGTGTTTATAATCTGCAAACTTCACTAAGATATGTGATGGTTCCTGGGTTTTAGCCACTGAGACTATATCTGTGTTGAATTATTTTTCTGGTTTAAGACATACATCAAGTATACAAAAATAGCTCAGAGTTAAAGATTAAAATTAGCAAATGAGTAGTTCATAATTAAAGTCTCATGATAGAGGAAGTGGCATTACATTGCGGAGATACTGATGTCAAATCCAACTTCTGCTCATTAGTAGTATCAAAATATTGGTAGGATGTCTTTACAGTATGGAGCCAGGGCTTGTCTATGAACAGAAGTTGCTTTGTTTTGTCCTAAATTACTCAACCTCCCAAGACTGACAGGTAATGGTACAAAGGTTTTAATGCCAACGTAGATCATTCTTTCAAGACTGGACAAATAAGCTATGTGCCTATATCAGAATAACTGAATTCCAGCTTGTACTGGAACAGTTACAGATCCTAGTGAAATAATGTGGCTTTAAACAGAACAGTAAAACACCAAAATAGTATGAACCAATGCTTTCTAGTATTATTGAAATGACAGACCTCTCTACCACTTCAGTTACAAATCTCTGTCAGGGAAGTCAGGCAGTAAACAACTGTATTTATTTGTTAGGACCTGGATGATCACCCTTCTTTTGAGTGAGTCCTGGCTCAGCTGGGGCTGTGCTCTGCTGCAGCAGCAACTCTGTGCCCACAGAATGGCCCTGGGGATCAGCTTTCCTGGCTGTAGCTCCACCAGCTCTGTCCCATCCTCAGCCCAGGCTGAGGCCATTCCATTTTTTTGCCTTGTTTTCACTGCTACTTTGGTGTGACCAAAAGTGTATGGCTTATATGCCCTGTGGCCCATAAGCTGAAGGAGCGATGTCCCTGTAGAAAAGTCCTCTAAGACTCTGCTTATTGTTACTCCAGTCTCACTTAAGCCCAAATTTAAGGGAGGCTGAGGTGGTGACAGGCCCCAGTAAAAGCTCTGTGCACAGCTGGGCTTGCTGGCTGCACATCTGCCCAGCCACAGAATCACCAGATTCAGTCAAACCACAAAGGTGTGTGCAATTAATGAGGGACTTTGACCTATTTCATATTCCTTTATTGTCTTTGGCCTTGTCTACATGGGGAAATTACACCAATATAGTTTAAGTCTGTTTATAAAGTGATTTGATTAACCTGATGTGACCTTGTGTACGGACATTCTTATTTTGGTTCAAACGAGCTTATTTGGGTTCAACCAAAACCTGCACTTAGTCAATTTGCACAGAACCGAAATTAGACATGCCTAAACTGGAAGGGGAACTGATGTCTCTAAATAATGACACAACTTTCTCATGAAAGCAGAACCTTCTGTAGAATCTGGAACAGAGTGTAATTACTGACAAATCTGCAGGCAAGTGAAAGCTATTCATAGCAAAGGTTTCAAAAAAACCCAGGGAAAACAGGCAAAACTTAAATATCTTGGTGAGACAAATGAAGAGGTGCCAATAATCCCGGTCCTGGAATACTGAAAGCAGTGGCACAAGGCTTGCATAGCTTGCAGCAAGGCTCTCCCCTGGCTCTTCAGATGCAGAAGAGGGCAAGCATTTGTGTCCTTTACAGGGAGTCCCTAGAGAGTCAGAAAATAAAAAAGCAATGCAGGAAATGTTAGGCCAGCTGGTTTGAGCACAACAGTACCCAGCGTCTTATGACGTATTTTGCAGAAAGAATAATTAGGCATGGAAATAATGAGGAAGCAGGCTAAATTACAACAAGATTTTATCAAAGATGGATTGTGCTAGACTAATCTAACATCTTTTTCGTATAACAGATTATTTATATGGGGTAGGGTAGGAATGTCATTTATCTAAAGCCAAGTACGTGATACCATGCCCCACAGGATGTTATGGCTTAAAATGAAGGCAGTGGTTCAAGACAAGAATTGAAAGGTAGACAAAAACCTGGTCAAAGAGAAGATACAACCATTGCATGCAAATAAAGTTCTCTGAATAGAAAGAGGTACTCAGAGAAAGTCATCAGGATGGAGGAGATTGGTGCTGCTGCTCCCTTGGGACCAGGCTTGGGCTGTTGAATGGATCCACTCTGACCTGTGTGCAGGGTGTGGGTGTGTGCCCAGGAGCTGTTGGGATGACAAAAACTTGGGAGGAATTGTCAGTCCAGAGGAGGGTCAGATCATCACATGAGAGGTATTTAGATAACTTTGCTGATTGGCAGTGATAGACATAAAATGGCAATTAATAGTGCTGTGTGCAAAGACAAGTCGTAAGCATGGAGACCAGTAACAAGAATTTCCAGTGTGAAATAGGAACTCGTTACTTGTCCATGCCAGAAGGGAGAGATGTGGATGCACTGGCTGCTCAGAAGATACCTGGGAGCAAGCGCTGAGATGCAGCTGGGAAGGGGACCACTGACATCTTTGGATACCAAAGGAAAATAATATAAGAAATTCAGGGAAATGTGGTAACAATCATTGTACAGATCATTGTACAGGGTGTCAATACAGGAGCTCCACGTTGCTTTTGGATTGATTTACTGATGTTTTGCATAGTTCCAGACACCCCTGCCAAGAAAGCATTAAATTCCAGCGGTAGGAGGGCTAGAGATGTGGGTACACAAACACACCATGTGTTTTACAGAGTGAGGTTAAAGAGCATCATCTCTTTAGCTCTGGCCAGGTGAACCAGTGAAGGGACAGGCTACACTGGGGTATTTTACACATAATTGGCACTATATAGCAAGAGGGCAGGAAAAAAATAAGATAAAAGATAGCATCTGCACTAGGTCAAATTTTCTAAATTGGTCATGAATAAATTTGGGTGGAGAATTAGAATAAAGCTTCTATCTACCCAAGGATTGAAGTTGCATAAGAGTTTTTCAATTAGGGTAGTTTTGAGATAGATCTTGATAATCTTATGAAAGAGGTTATACAATTAAATTAGAGAGTTCCTGGAGATAGGAAATTACATTTGCAGAGTTAGTTCTTTGCTCTGCAGTGTAGTCATATTTTTAATGTATGCTTGA